CTTTTCGATATCGATTCAAACATCATTATGATTGAAAATATTATTCATAGTAGTCAAGAAGTATTTCGATATATCAATATCCGAATGTTACGTGTCAAATGTTCATTTGTGCATGACATTTATGCCAGTAGGTAACGAAATGTTTGACATTAGTTTTTTGAATATCATTATCAAATGATGCTGGACGTATTTTAATCAATGAGTTTATAGCAGCTTCAGCTGAACAAGTCCATCGAACAGCTAAATAGCAAGCAATAAAAATAGCTAAAATACCTTGACCTCGTATTGATTGAATGAGTACTGGCTCGCCACGATCTCGTGCTGCTAATACAACATTAATAAAATCAATAATCTGCTCAAATGTTGGACAACAATGTTCAGCTATTGAGAAACACACATGCTTGAATGAATTACTATGCGGTGGAATATTCATGTCAATATTCACTAATAGACGAATTCCTTGTGAGCGAAGATATTGCATATGAGAGTGATGAAATGGTTGAGCACTTGCAGCGAGAACACGATCTTCGATCCAGGAAAAATAAGGTGGCATTGAATCATAAGCTGCATTACAATTTATATAATTATTCATAGTCTCTATTCAATTGACATAGAAAGAAATTTGAAGGTGCATAGCAACCAATACAAGTTTTTATTGTATATTTCAATGTTTTTTTCTGTAAAGACGACCAAAAAAATCTATAGAATAATAAATTTCCAGTCGAATGGAAAAATGAATTCACATTCTCTTCATATAAAATTTGAAAAATGAAATTATGTTTTACTATATAATATTAATAATAAAAATAACATTAAAGTTCTAATAATGAGAATATCAATGAGAATATCGCCGTTGATATCTATAGTGAAATGTACATAAATAAAATGTTGCGATCATCTATAATGGTATTAAATATGAGCTTGATAGTTTCCAACTGACAAATTTCTAAATATCGTCAAAGTACCAACCTAAAATATTGACCTCACGCGTTCTCATCGTACGATAATGGTCTGCAATTATGGTGAATGAATTTATTATGGCAGCGAAATGTTAATTAGCTATCAGCAGTTAAATTCATTATAGGCTAAAGATTTTTCATCTACGAAAATTTCGACCTTATCTTTCTGGACTAGTTTTAACCGACTGTTAGAAACTTGAAATGGCTAGTATAGTTTTCAGTTCATCATTTCGATAGAAAATAACATAAAAGACTCTTCTTTTTTCCAAAGAATGTGGATATGTTGGCTAGGGACGTCAGTTATGGTTTTTATTCTTAGGAACTGAGAACTCGGTGCGAACTACCTCTTCTAGAAACCCGGAAACACACAGTCATTTGCCATAAAAGAAAAGCATAGATATATCTAAACATCTTAGTATATTGGCAAAGACACGGAAACAAATTCCCAAGTTGGTTTTCCTTGCTCAGTAATGAAACCCCAAGGAACGGGAATTCTGATACCCCCTAGTATTGCTATGGGTGTGGTCGTCCCTATGGGTTCTACGAAAGATATATGCACACATCATACGCACACAGACACTTAACAACTCCATGTTCTGATGCATACTTTTTTTTTAGCAAACAATGTGTGATATTGACAGGCGTATTCATCGTTTTTTTATCTCATTCTGTTATCAATCATTCGGTCGAGATGCTTGACACTCTGATATGACAAATATACGTCTGTTTTGAGGAAAGAGAATGTTATCACATATTAACAGAAATAGAAACCTATGGAGTATAAATGTGAGGAGAATGTGATCAGGGTTTCGCATAATGTATTTTTATCGAAAAGCACTGTCTTTCTTCTCTGACTGCTTTGTATTAGCACTAGTATCATTCGGACTCAATTACCAACATGCGATAACATTTTCGATCTCATCATTATCCTGGATTCGTCCGGCAGTATTGCTTGAGCGGACTTTGCTAGGGTAGTCGAAACGATGGAAAGTGTGGCATCAATCTTGAAGATTAGATCGAAAAAAGTGATGATCGCCGTGATCAATTACTCGAGTAACGTTCAAGTGCCTATCATATTTGCTAATATGAAACTATCAACATTTTCGATTCAATGGCTCATGAACAGGATCAGAACGATCCAACATTTGAAAGGAGGGACTGACACAGCCAAAGCTTTCCTACAAGCAAAGATAGTATGTGATGGTACATGTCGATCTGTTAACGAAGGAGTTGCTCGACCAATGTTGGTCTTCACTGACGGTCAGAGCAAGGTTGCATCAGAAACAGCAAAACAGGCGGCAGTTTGAGAAGCCCAATGCCAACAAACATTTATTCTGTTGGAGTTGGTGATTACATGTGAGTAAAATTAAGAGTGATTGCCTCTGATCTTTCTTATATCTTAACGATGGCTAACTATTAACAACTAACTTTATTGATTAACCAAATTATTCACCAAACGTGTATGATGTCAGCCTTTGACGCATCCAAAGTGAAAGCGGATACGGAAGTGCCGACAAGTACGTATCGTTATTACCGTATAGACATGAGTATGTTTAGAGCAGGAGACAGCGCCTTCTTTGAATTGATGATAATCTTTGAATTGATGATAAGCTTTACTACTAAGTTCGTGATAAGTAATAAATGTATGCAATCTTCTAGAAAATATATACGAAAGGGCAACACTCGTGCATTCATTTGGACGACCAATATGAACTCCAAGCTGACTCGAGTCGTGAAGTCTCGTACAGAAAGGTCGGAACAGAGCAACACACCTTGAATTCATTGAACCTGGAACACCAAAATATTACTTCAGTGTTCTCGGTGTCGACCCGATCAACGAGTTTGACTTTATACCACGAATCCTTGATATAATTAGTGGTATTGTTCGATAAACAGTTTTTGGATGTCTTCTCTTTTTATTTTGCATCTCTCTTGAATTAGATTTAAGAACTGAAAGTATAATATGACGGTAGCATTCACTAATAAACAATTCGACTTATTATATTTGCTAATAGCTTCTGGGTTTTCGAATGTCGATTTTTAGAAATAATTTTTTTCCATTTACCTCAGCGAAAGTTCACAATGCTATCACCATCAATCGACTTCACAAAATTTAGGGTTTCAACCATTCTTCTAATGTTTCATAAGATCATATCTGAAAAGTTGTCGATAAAAGTATTAGATGCATCATGAGGTGTAAAGATAATGGTGACAACATCTGAATATTTCTCTTCCGAACCTCCTGTCCCACAGTGAACAGCCTGGCGATAAAATCGATTTCAGAGATCTGAAGCTATTATGTAACTGATATGAAAGTTGCTAGGTATCTGCAATTAACTATACCTTGAATTCTAATTAGAGACAACTAGTCATCTTGTAGCACCTCCAAAAAAGTAGGTAAAATAGGCGAACATCTCTAATAGAGAGCTAGATAAGTAGAATGCATATTTCAAATTGACGTTTTAATTATATTAATTCGATATTTTTATAGTTATTTGGCGTTGTATATTTATTAAATATACTACAGGCATTTCGTTCTTTTTTAAGTTTTTATTTTTGATGTAACAGGACTAAAAGCATATTTATCATATACTAGAAGATAACGACTGCTAAATAGTGCAACTGTTTCGCCGAATTTTTCCAGGACTTTTACTTGAGTTTTAATTTACTCTCTGACAGAACGTGCCATCAGCCAATTTTGATGAATGCATATAAATGCGAATATAAGCCCTTATTGAGATACGGCGTCTCAATTATAGTCTTTTATCCACAATCATTCAAAGCAACTTGTGTAATAACGATGTATCTTTCACATCGAATTAAGTTTCCAATAGATAATACTAACCCAAATATATAATATTTTAAAACTTCTACGTCGATTGTTTGGTTCTAAACATAATCCATAGATAGTTTCCAACTTTGGAGCTCTTATTAGAGAACTTTGAGAACTCACCAGGGAATCTCCACAGATGCTAAAGAATTTTGACTCGGAATTTTGCATATATAATGCTCTCAATGTGACTAGTTCATTCTGGAATTTTCAGCTATTTGAATTGTTTCTATCGTGAGATATGCATATTCAAAATTTACGTAGTTGTGTGAAAAAGCAAGTTTTGCGCTGGTATTCGTATCCCACGACAAAAGCAACAAAAAAAGCTAAAACTTTTAGTATGACATAGTTACATAAAGAACATTATTTTTCAAAGTTTCAAGCTAGAATTCAAGGTCCACTATCAAAATGACCTGAGTGGAAAATTGAGGTTTTGTTGAAAAACTCATTAAAAAATCTATTTTTTAAGTAATCTTACAAGTAAAAGGGCTTTGACAAACATAGATAATCAATATCAAGTGCGAAGAATAAGTACACAAGATACCAAGTTTTTAGCTACTGTACTTGAAGAAATTGTTCTTGGCTTCCTTTTTCTATCCGCTGTGCATCATATTTCTATGCCGGTTATTGCTGAACCGTTTCTATCCGTCATGTTTTTGATGGAATTTTTGCAGACGTTCCTCTTATTCTGAAATTGCCGCAGAATCTAATTCTTCATGAACTCTTGAAACGTGCAATGATTTGCTAGACTCAGAAACACCCACACAATCTCCTTCATCTTCACCTCTTTTAAACTCTAGTGAAAAAAGATTTGAATGTAGCACATTGAAACTTGCTTTTGACATGTTTTATCAAAGAAAAATGGCATATCTAAAAAAAAATTCTAAACCGGCACAGACCGACCGGTCTTATCATCCCAACCGGTTCCAACTCTGAGTGAGACTGCCTTTAATTATATCATACTCGCTAGATATCATATAAATTTATGTATTCATGATGTATGTGTTCTCTTGAGGTAAAAATTGTATAGACTGTTTCATTATCTAAATTTTATTAAAAAAGAAACTAATTATTATTCTTTGCAACCAATAAACCATTATTATTTTAAAATAATCTATTTTGTCAAAAGACAGTTTGCAATGATACACGTAATTTTCTGCTGATTTATTATTAATTATTACAATCATAGTACAACAACGAATATGAATAAATCAAAATAAACATCTCTTAAACAATGAAGTATGATGTAAAGCATACCAAGTAACTTTCAATACATCCTCTGATATTGGCATTATTTTTGTACGGATAAATTTCGCATCAATATAGCCTGTATGTGCAACTAAAAAATATAAAAATAAAAAGTAACCTGTTTTTTTACATTACAAGATTTCTTACTTTGTCCAATGCCTTCATAACATATTGGAGAATCTGAATCCGCCTCAATAGCATGTGTAGCAGCAAAAGAAATTTTACTATGTGGTACATTAGGATCTCCGGAAATTTTTCTAGCAACTAAAGCATTCGGCACAATTTCCACATCTTTTGATGTACCATCGATGGTTATCGGACATGTAAAATCATGATAAAGCTCAAAATAAAGCAATTCAAGACCATGACCACCATACGATCCTACCCAAAGTCCATTAAAACGTGCTAATGGATGATTATTATCACCGGTTCTTGGTTGAGGAATTGAAAGAGGATGATAAACAATAGATGAATCATTCGAACAATTTCTTGTAAAATAGATATCACGTACTTCTGGACTATCCATCAAATTATGATCATGTTCAACTAACGATGATCGTTCATTGATCGGTAATGCTTCTTGTGATAAGCCAAAATATTGTTGATTTGAATCAAAATTTTTTATCCATGACAGTTCTGAATGAAGTACATTACATTGATGACATAATATCTGATGAGATTGACAATCAATAGTAAATAATTTAATTTTTGTATAAACAGGTTTTAAAAAAGATTCATCAGCTTCATCATCTTCATCGTCATCATCATCAAAAAACAATTGTGGTGCACCAAGAGAAGCATTTAATACTTTAAACTTTTCACCAGTTATAGTTCCATCAGATATATTTAAATAAACATTAATGAGACCACCAAAATACTTTTCATTTGATTTCCAATAGCCAAGATATCGACCGTATGGCACGAGAATTTTCGTAAATAAACTTCAAGAAAAATATTTAATAATTTAAATTTTATGTTATTTATTTTTCGATAATAATATCATACTCGTAAAAACTTTGTTTCATTTCGTTTAGCGGAAATTTTATATTGTACAATTGATAGCATAGTCGTTTCCATATGCGATCATCACGTGATATAGATAAAAACAATGAAGAAACTTGAGAAAGTGAACATAAATCTTTTGGTGAATCAAGATGAGTAGCTATTGAAAAGAGAAGTTCATATGGTAACTTATCCATCTAAAAAAAGCCCGAAAATAAAATTAATCATGTTTGTATTTCATTAAAAAAATAATAATAAGAATAAAAACTCAATAAAATATTGCACATGAAAAGCAAAGTTTAATGTTGACGTCTTCTTTTATATTTACATTTAAAACAAGCAAAATAAAAAAGTGTTACGGCAACCATAATAAATGCCATTGTATACAGAGGAACTAAATCAAAGAAAAAAAATAAGGTTTTTTCTGGATAATTAAATAAGCACAGGTTTTACTTGAATAATTTAGTATTGCTATTTTATCCTTCATATCTTTTGAGCATGTTTCAGTTAACATTTCATATTGACTAAGTTGACGACCAAGTTTTGGAAAAATAACTACCATTAGAATTCCAATAATTTGACTATAAATGATTAATGATTTGAATATTAAAATAAAAATATCAAACAAAATAAAACATAGCTTCGGCAAGATTTCAAATTTTTGAAAGTTCGAAAAGATAACAATAAAGAACTGATCTTTGAATTTTGCTTCATGATAGAAACGTATTTTGATTGTTACTCTTTATATCACTAATAATAAGAGAACTATATGTATTTTTTTCTACAGAATCTATATTTCAACAATGCTTTTTTTTTTATTTTGGGAAACATGAATGCATGAAATGATTGGTGAAAATTCAATAGAGTATAGCAGAGATCCGTAAGTCAGACTCGCGCTTGCTATACCAACCCATAGGACAGCTAAATATGTTGTCTACATACTATACTTGATGAAATAAGGTATATAATCCTTCTTAGTAGATTTCCAATAGAATTTTTCGATAACTCAATAAAAGAGAAAAAAAAACAGCAAAAAAAACAAAAAGCAATATTATTTTTTAGTTATGGTTTAGTGGGATTTTATTTTATAAACTCTTATCTAAGTCAATTATTTCACCTTGTTTATAAACAATTGCGATATACTTATCTTAAGTTATGTTCAACTTTAATTTAAGTTTACTCAAATCTAAGACGTTAGAGTTCGCCAGTGTTCATCAATGTATTCAAGTTGAATCTAGTTTATCTGAGTACGCCTCAACCAAAAAAAGAGAAAGGATTTTTAAGTTCATGCCTTTTGAATAGCATTTGTTTTATCAATGTTTATTTGTCTTCGAATTAAATACTTTAAAAACTTGAAAATATTGATTGGCCTATTCCTAAAAGTATTTTCGAAAAATTATTTTGCGATGTCAACGCACAAGAAGATATTGATTCAGATATCACAGTTTGAATACGTGAAAATGAATAGTCTGGCTAATTTATAAAAGTAAGTGGTGCTAGTTTGTTCATGCAAACAAAAATTAAAATTTATTTTCAAATAGAAGAAAATTATTTTCTGACTAATTAAAAATGAATTCTACACAAGTTCAATTTTGTCTAGGACATAAACATATCCTTTTTAATCACTACTATGTCTGTAGGACTGTATCAACACGATCTGTTACTTTTGAAAAAAAAAGGTACTTTTAGAACTGAGAGGTATCAAGAGAACTACATCTACTAGTAGAAAGAATACTGACGGCAGTAAATGAAATGAGATGAATAAGAGAGTATCAAGTAAAGTTACATCTTTGAAGTCTGACATTGATTGATTCTAGAACTTTTTTTCTTACATTAAACTTCTGCAAGAAATATGATCAAATCGAAACTCAATTAAATATCCAGTTTTTTTTTAAACTATGAAAACCAGTCAGACATAATAGAATATCTAGGTTATTCTATTGCGGGGAGGAATTTTTACATAGTTCGAAAACTTAAGCTCAAAGTTTTACCATTAGAAATGCAATTTGTAACTGTTCCATATCAATTTCAATTTTAAATGATATAGAATAAATCATTTCTGTGAACTAATATATTCCGAGACTTTGTTTTATAGGAAATAGTGTATATGAATAGTTATTTTGGAAAGTTTATTTGAACTTCTCAGTTTAAACTAATGCCAATCTCATAGCGAATAATATTCAATGAGATTATCGATATTAAAAACTATCGTCTTGTATGCTGAAGTTTTCATTTTTTATCTGTGTATAATGACCAATAATATTTTAAATATGTATAAGCTTTTAAACAAATTGTTTCTTTACCTAGACATTACATTAATTCCAATCGCAGTTGCTTCCGGTATAGGATAAACACATTCAAGACTTAAATCCATTGATATAGGTGATAAAGGTATTGATACAAAACCAACAAAAGCAAATGCAAAATAAATAAAATATCTCCATAGTCGACTAATAATAAACTAAAACATTAAATGTATAAAAATCTATTCGATGAATAATTTTCATACCAAAACAAGAACAATATAAGCAACTGAACTTGCTGTATATAATATTTTTGAAATTTCTTCCAATTTTCCTGTTTTATCAGCAACATAACCAGCTATCAATGAACCTAAACTTCCTGCTCCAATAAAACATCCTAAACAAATTCCAACAGTTACATTATCATAACCAAATGGACACATCATTTGTTCAACTAATGTTGAAAGTGTATTAAAACATCCAAGTGCAATACCACAACTAATAAATACAACCACATAAGATTTCGATCGATAAAGCTAAAGATAAAAAATATCATAGACTAGTTTTTATTTTTGCTTTCCTACTCTTTTTAAAGATAATATAAATGGTTGTTGAGTATGAACAACTGCTTTACATGATGGTGTAGGTGGTTCTGATGATCGAATTCCAAGACAAAGTATACCAGCTAATAAAGCCGGTATTACACTTAAATATAACTGAACAAAAAACATGGACAAAAAATTCATAGCAATAGATAGAGATTATACACAAACCAATAAGGGAATTTTGCTCATGTCAGGCACGATAATTGGTGAAAGAATACTGCCGATAAGTATACCTAAAAAGTTACCTAAAAAAACAATTGAATGGACCCTGTCCGTTATAACGATCTATCTTAAATCAAGATTCATATATGTAGTTTTGTAAAACAATTTGTAGTAGATCGGTTAGTATATAAGAAATGAAGTTTTTCTTAAATTTTGATGCTTTTAAGGTTCATATGCTGATTATAATCTTCGAAAAAAATCTATGGTAATGATACACATCGTGCTTCCTAAGATATTCCTTGATAGACTTATGCAAATTTTGTTTTTTTTTTAATTCCGTTCCATAGAGTTATAGATACTCTTCAATTTTCTATAATCAACACACTATTGACTTCTATATGTTTCACAGATCACATCTTTCGGAAAAGTAGGAAATTACTGCCAACTTGCAAGATTATTCGTAGAATAGTCTATTTTTCTACGTAAAGGAATCAGTACATTGAAGATGTTTCAGCAATATTCAACGATTGTATTGCAAAATTGTTATGCACTAATAATCAACGCAGCACCCATGATGAACTGCTTTATAAACGAGAAAAGATTTTTTGACCTCCAAATCCCTGGAGAAGAGTGCGAAGATATGGAAAAATTCATTTTTGACACGAATACAAGATATTTATTAATTCTTATAATGCTTCATGCATACATCAAACCTGAATACTCTGAATAAAAAAAAATGTGAAGAATGAATAATAAAAAGAGCCGAGCTTCTTCCTGCGACTGTTCCGGTACTCAGCTCCATGTGTCTCGAGAACAAGAAGTATTTTTCTGTTTATAAATGGGTTATTTATAGCAGTTCATCATGGATACTGTACTGATTGTTAGCGCATTAAAATTTTTAACTGAACCATTGAGTATTGTTAGAATAATCTCAACATACCAGCCCTTTCATTTGAGAAAATATGCTATTGTAACAGACAATCATGCAAGTTGACAATGAATTTCTGCTGTATCAAAAGATTTTATCCGTGAAACATATAGAGCTGCGCAAATTTGAACACATTGAAATATCATATAGTCAAGAAATGACCTAGACTTTCGAAAAGGGACAATTTTTAAGTATGAAGAAACCAACGATGAAAACTATTGATTATAGAAAATTGAAGAGTATTTATAGCTATATCGAACTGAGTTTAAAAACAAAATTTCCATAAGTTTATTTTACAGACTACAACATCTATGAGTACCATATATATTCCTGAAGGATGTAAATCAGCTTTAGTGCATAAAAATTTGATGAAAATTTGATTTCTTAAATATCGTTCAACACATTGCAAACAACTCTACAAAACCACGCATATGGTATTCTTGTTTAAGACAGGTCTTCAAGTTCAGTGGGATCATTAAAATAAAAATTTCTTTCAAATCATACTTCCGATAGCAATCGAATTAGCTAATGAACGTTGTTTTTCAGAAAACCATATAAAACTAAATTTTGTTGGAATAAATAGAATAAAAGTTTGCGCTAATGCACATACAAATTGTCCTAAAATTCACAATTTCTTTTTCTTTTGAAATACATAATGTATATTATATTTTACCAATCATCAATATTACAAATCGTCCTTGTGCACTAATTACTGTCAATACACTAAAACATCGAATAATACTTCCAATAGCATTCATCCAAACACCAATATACATCTATTAATAGAAAAAAAAAATAATTAAAGTCATATTATCGTAAAAGCATATCTCAAATCAAACCCCAGCACGAACACCAAGTTTATCAATTAGCCAAGTTGATGGTAATGTAAATGGTATTGTTACAATCATATACATTAAACTAAGCCAATTAATTGCATCATAACTAACCTTATAATATTCTACACCTAAATTTGCAATAGGTGAAAAATTAATCCATATCTAAAGATAAATATTAGATGAATTAATTTAATAGTTTTAACTTACTAAAGCATTGGATATTTGAGCTAAACAAACAACAAATAAATAGAACCATCGTCGTTTATAAGTGATATAGACTTTGGCAATTGATTCATTTATCTCTTCATTATCACTTTGACTTAGTTCTTCATAATCAGCCATCTGAAAATAGAAATTTCTTTTGAAAAAAAAATTCTTTTTTTCCTATTATTAGAAATATACAAAAAGCAATAAAACTCGATT